TTTTTTTTTTTTTTTTTTTTTAAATAACGAATAACTGGCAGGAACCACTAGTAAATTCCTAAAATATAAAGCAGAAGCGTGCGAAAAAACAATCAAAAGCCCATAAAACCCTCAAACTTATCTCTTGCACCTCCAAACCCAATGCAGGAAAAAAAAAACTTGGATCAAAAGCCCATTGGGACCAAATTGCACCTCCTAAATATCAACAAAGTTTATCAGCAAGAGAGACCAGACCTATGCAACAGGAGAACAAGAACGTGCTCAAATGAATAATAAGCTCCAAACCCAGTGCAGAGAAACTTGCGCAGATATGAGTCATATGACAATAAACGGCTGGGTAAAGAGGAGGTACGTGAGAAAAGGGAATACAGAGAGTGTAGGGAGCTATATGAATGTGAGAAGGGGAGAGAGATGAGCAGGTCGGGTTTCCCCTCGTTAAATCACAAATTATAGACTCTAAAAAAGGGTTAAATTTCTAAATTTCAGTCTTTTATTTAAAAGATTTTCTCTTATTAACCACAAGTTGAACCGAACTTATAAGTTGTAAAGCCGCTCTCTCCTTTACTAATAAGGGCAAAGGCAAGGCCTCATTTGCTACAACACATTATTGCTAGCTAGATACAATTTGATATAAATTGTGCTTGATTTATTTGTGAGGGACAATTGATAGTTGTTTTTTTTTTTAATTTTTAATTAAATGAATAAAGATATTTAAATTATTATAGATAATAATTATTATCAATTAATGGATATTCACTATTAATAAATGAAAAATGGTGTTTTGACTTATAAATAACTATCATTATTTATTGCATATCAATAATTTAATTATCAACTATTTAATTAAACCAAGAAGGGGCTATGTATTTTTTAGGGCAAATTGCACTTACCCCCCCAATGTAGTTTGGGGTGGGTGCACTTAACCCTCTATATCACAAAAATGTGCACTTGATCCCCTTGTATTTCGAAAATATGCACTTAACATTCTAAATCATGAAAATGTGCTTTTGATCTCTTGTGATTTGAAAAATGTACACTTAATCCCTAAGTATTTTTAAGATTTCCCCTTTAATATTAATTTAAGTGTAAATTCTCCAAACCACATGGGTATAGCTGAAAAGCACATTTTTATAATTTGGGGTTTAAGTGCAATTCCATGCTACAAACAAGTGTGCATAATTGTTTACCTTTTTTTTTTTAATATTTTACTCATTAAATACTTATGAGAAGAAATTAGAATTGTTATTTTTTGTCCATACCAGAAAAAGGTAAAAAAAAGAAAAGAAAAAAAAGAAGCAAACTAAACTAAATAGGAAGCCATATCACCCATTAAATAAATAATCTTTCATATCTACACCTTAGATTTCTTACTCTTGCAAGACATTCAATTAATTAACAGGGGATGAGGGATTCAGTGATGCATCTTAAAATTACTTATTCGCCCTTAATATATATAATAGCACATGTGTGTACAACAATAAAAACTTCTCATTAAAGATAGAAAAGTAGTTGTTAGTTTCAGCTCCAACTAATGCTAATTTATATTGAAAATCCTTTTCCATATGAATAATGATTGTTACCAGCAATTTTTAGATAAAATTTTAGGACAAATTTATAATAACTTTATGGTGTGGATTTTATTTGGACCTACATAATTTAAAGACTGAAATAATTTGGTATCAATAATCAATAGGGAATAATAACAAGAGAAAACAAAAGATTAGAATGTCTTGTTATTAAAAATATCAAGGTGTCAAATTTCAACTATTACATGAGTGGTACATAATGTAAATCCCAATTGAAATTATGTTGTGATTATTGTGAAGTGTTGTGGTTGTAATTTTTAAGTATTTTGCTATCACAAAAATTATATTATTATTTAATATTTACTCAAAAAAAAGTATTATATTTAACTCTAATTACTAGTCCATACAAAGTATCAATTAAAATTAACTTAATCATAATAAATTAACACATTTAGTGGGTTATTGTAAGAAAATAATATCAAATGCAACCTAAATCTCATTCATCATATAATTACAATTGGACGTTTTTAACTTGTTTAACGATATAACATCTTAATTTTTCTTTTCTTTTCTTTTTTTTTCTGTAATACTAATAGTATAAAAGAAAACAAACTAAGCATAGGTAAGGTTATAACCACTAATAAAAATATAAAGATTACTAAATTTGTAAAATATTATTTTTAAAAATATTGATTCTATTTAATTTGATTAATAAAATAATTAATATTTATTAATTAACAAATTAAAAGATATTAGTAAATTAATATTTCTAAACACTACTTAAAAATAAAAATAAAAATTTTGATGAACTTAATATTTTTTATAATATTTTTTATAATGAGAATAACAACACACCCGTATGCAGTTCTATTATTTCTTCCATAATTGGGAACTCTTTTCTAATATGGCAATGAGGATTTTACTTTCCTGAGAAAGGAAGGAAAATTTTGGATGTATCCCAAAAGACAGTGTGCAGCTCAGCTGACAGAACACAATACGGTTTCATTTATGCCCATTTCCCTCATTTCAATCAAGTATACTTTTATTTGCCCAAAAAATTAATTATGTGGATTTTTCATTTTATTCCTAGTTGTTAATAACTTTATATTAGCTGGAAATTATTTAAGTTAGGATATGCTTTTCCTTCTTTCATTTTACAATATAAGAAAAGATCTTTATCTTACGATTTAAACCATATTAAGTTATTAAATAAAAATGGTTAGACAAAGAGAAATTAGATATTGAGAGACATATCACTCATTTAATTGGATAATATGTAGTTTGATGTAATTTAAATTGCATAATAATTTTTTGATATAAAAAATAACATTTTTGTTTCCCTTTACCTTCGGGCTGCCTCTTCTTTTTAGTGAAATTAAGATCCGATTATAAAGTTTTCATATGACTTTTAAAAGACTATAACCAATTGAACAAAAGGTTAGATGGAAAAATAGTCTCAAATCTTTAAAATGAAGGGCAAAAGAATTGTGAAATCTAACCAATTAAGGTGTTTTTGTTTTAAACGTAGTATTTATTTGTTTTACCTCTTAAAAATTAAAAAAAAATTAAAATTACATCATTTTAATAAAATATTATAAAAAAACTAAAAATAATATAATTTATGTTATTAAAATAAAATATTTTAGTTTTTTTAATAAAAATTTATTAAAATTATACAATTTTAAAATAATTTTTTTAATTGAAAAAAAAAACGGATAAATACTTTTTTCTTTTCTTTTCTTTTCTTTTCTAAAGAATAGTTAAAACCTTAAAAATTTTAAATTAAAAATTTCAAAAAGAAAATTATTTTCAATTTTCTTCTAGTAAAAAAGGTTAGTGTGGAACCCACATGAGATTATAATATTATATTACATAATGCTGCCAAGGAAGAAGTATAAAACCACCTAACCCAGATATAATTACTCATTAATACTTTTCTTAACAGTGTAGGGAAAAATGAGAAAAATATTTCTGAGAAAAGTTTGAGATCAGAGAGAAGAATCAAACCGGCATTTTACATGTAAGTAATTTTTCTCATTAATAAACTAATTTTCTTTTACAATTTTCTTTTCTTTATTCGTTAAATTATTGGCTCATTCATTCTTTTCCCTTTAATTACGTTTATTCTTTTTTCTTCTTTTGAGTTAGATTAAATTACTTTTATGGGTATATTTACTTTGACAGATTGTGAATTCGAAGTCTGCTGAGATAGAACACTATGAAAAAACAAGGGCCCTGTCGCCATTGTGGAGTTGAAAGTGAGTTTCTTTTCCCCTTTTTCTGTTTTTATTTATTTTAATTTTTTAAATAATATTATTTAGAACTTCTTTTATTTAATAATATTATTTATAAATTGTTTGTTTTGGTAAAGTTCGGATTGGGATATGTTTGGGAGGAATTTATTAGATTTAAAAGACTAAAAAATTTTAAATATTATTTAGCATCATCTTTTGAAATCAAATGCGGATGATTTATATAACATATGTTTAGATATGATTACATGAATCATATATGTGTATTATGACATATTGGTGAAAATACAAACCTTTTTTATTTTATTTTATTTTATTTTTGTCAATTGAATTATAAATTATAATAAGATTTATAATAACTTAAAAAATGAGAGAGCTATATCATGTGTTTTAAAACATGTCATGATTTATAAGATATATACTACTTTATTTTTATTTATTATGGTACCTATAATCGTATCGATCACAATTAACCTAAACGGTTATTTGTTATAAGAAAACACAGGCCGCGGGTTATGTTCCTTAATTAATATTATTAATAAACATATTATTTGATATAATAAGAAGCAAAAAACCCTAATGAGATGACTCAATAGTTAAAAACTTAAAACTTTAAATCTGATATCTTAAATTCGAAGTTTGCGTCAAGTGAAAAGAGATTTAAAAATAAAGAAGAGTCATCCTCTATTGTATAACTCATAAAAAAAAAAAAAACCAGGGAGGGGAAGAAATAGTCCACTTAGAAGAGAAATTAGCGAAAAAGGGTCAAAGAAACCAACCCACATTGTAAGGACTAAGGAGTAGGAGTGAGGAGCGTATCTAGTGAAACTACCATCTACAGCAATCAGCGAACATAGGCATATATAATAATGTTGAAGAAGAACCTGTGCGGTGCAAATTTAATTGTGCATGAATTTTCAAATAAAAGGACCAAAAAAAGAAAAAGAAAAAAAGACGCACTTCCTTTTTGATTTGCTTTAAAAAATAATAGGCTTTATTTTCATATTTCTAACTTAATTGTATAGTTTAGATCTTTAGATAATTAAAAAACTAAATTTTTAGTTCATTTTACTTGAGTTTTAAAGAGAATTTTTTTAATACTTTTTAAATATTTAAGTAGTATCAATTTTATAATTATATAAATATTTACGTGTTGTCATTCATAGCAATTAATTTTAAATGGTCATGAAAGTCCCCCTCAACCCCCCTCCTCCCACCTCCCCAACCCCCTGTTTTCGCTTATAATTGAAAAAACATTTCATCATTTGCATTGCATAATTGGTTGAATAATTATGATGAGTAGGCACACCGCTATGGCGAAATGGACCCCCAGATAAGCCAGTTTTGTGCAATGCCTGTGGATCAAGGTATAGACTAAGGAAATCCCTGGATAACTATACTCCCAGGAATGCTCAAGCCATCCGGAGAAAGAGAACAATACCAATCATCCCCAGACCCAAGATCATTATTGAAGAAGAGAATCTCTCAAGCAACAATACTTGCTACTCATTGGGGTCAGATGGTTCGACAAGCATCATCAAATCAAGTGCAGAGTCCTTTTCAAATGAAACCTTTTGCTTAACGAGTTAGTGAATACCAACTTAAAAACTAAACCTTGAATCCATTTTCTAAAAAATGTTGATGGTTTTTATACATGTGTGCAGGGCAAATTGAGCCAAGTACAAACTTTTGGGATTCTCAAATTCCTTCAAGAAAGAGGAGGGAAGTTGTGAACAATAATGGTCTTTCATTCGATATTGAGACACTTCAAAATGACCTTTACAATCTTCAGAAAGGTGAAGATCAAACTCATGAGGATGTGCTCATCTATGAAAAGAATATGCTGCTAATTCCTCCTACTGAAATAGGCCTTGGAAGCATTCTTCTCAAGCAGACCCAGGTTTCTTCTAAAGATAAAAAGTAGCATTTTTTCTGAAAAAAAAAAGAAGTAACATTGTTGATGCAATTATTTTTGTAGTAAAGAAAGATTGTTATGACATATTTATCTGCCTTTCTGAGAATCACATGTTTCTCTTGGAGAGAAAAACAATACATTGTGATATTTTCTTTAGAAGATATATATAAATTGTAATGAATTAATGTGATAGTGACATATACCCAAAATATGAAAAGTGTAATGAATTGTAATAGCGATATATAACAAAAAAATATTTAATCAATTAATGGTGTTATTCCCAAAGGCTAAATTTTCTTGCTTTATTTTTTTTTCAATATCTATATATAGAGATTTTTTTTTTCCAACTGGCTAAAAAAATGTTTGCACAAACTGAAAAAAATATCATTAATAATTAGTGTTGAATTGCAGTTCATTTGTGATTCTAACTTAATTGGTGTTGTGCATCTATTGCACCTTTATCCACCATTTTAGACTGTTATCTTCTAAAAAATTTAATTCTTTCTAAAATGTACTTCTATCTAACTTATTCTTTTAACCTTAGTACGAAGAGTTCATAGCAATATGATAGCTTTACTTCTTTTAGTATCTTGCATGATAAGTTATATAATATAAGATAATTTTTTTTTTTCCAAAAACTACTTCACCTTTCTTAACATTTAAACTTGAAATTTTTAACATGAAAAATTCAATTTCTAACCATTAAGATGTCTCTTAGAGAACTGAATGAACACTTACGTGATTTGTTATTCTTGTCTAATTAATTATCCACTGAGTTGCTAATGCACTTTTCTATATTCCATAATAAAAAAAAAAAAATTAATTATCCACTGAGTTGCTAATGCACTTTTCTATATTCCATAATAATAATAAAAAAAAAAAGAAACTTCAGGATACACACGGATTTATTAACTACATTTTTGGCATTTTCAACCTAGACTAACTCAAAACCCTGTCCCTATATATATAACATGTAGATACTTTGATATGAGCCAAAGAAAAAAAACAATAAGTAGAAAACAAGAAGTCCTACATAAGGACATGACTAAATAGTAAGTTGCCAAATTGCATGCATTTTAGTTGACACGCTGCTCTTATCCATGGAGTTACCGGCTTAAAAACTGCAGAGATTCCGCTTTCCGTTGCTTAAAATAACTCCCCCGCCATCTCTTTTGACCTCCATTACTTTGTTCGGTTCTTCTTCCTCTTCTCTTGCCTCCTCCTCCTCCATGGCCCTGCTTCTCTTCCTATTCATTGAGATGTTTCTCATCGGGGCTTCTCAGGGGCAACTCACTGTTGGTTTCTATTCCGAAACCTGTCCGGATGCTGAGTCCATCGTCGGCGGAGTTGTTCGAGATTCTGCCAAATCCGACCCCAACATTCCTGCTATCCTTCTTCGGCTCCATTTCCACGACTGCTTCGTTGAGGTCCTCCTTTTTCTATCTGATTTCGGAATTCATTCATGAGTTTGCTAGTTCTTAACAGAATGTATACTATGCATCAACAGGGCTGCGATGGTTCGATATTGATAGACGACGGTCCAACTGCAGAGAGAAAGGCATTCCCGCACCAAGGTGTCGGAGGGTTTGAGGTGATACAGCGAGCCAAGGCTCAGCTGGAATCTGTTTGCCCAGGACTGGTTTCTTGTTCAGATATAGTTGCCTTAGCCGCCCGAGATGCTGTAGCTTTGGTATACAAATGTAAAACTTTTGGTTTTCTATTCATTGTTATGTGTGAGTATGTTGCTAGATTTAGTCTTTGTTTTCATAGGCAAATGGACCGCGGTATCAAGTTCCCACCGGCCGGAGAGACGGTAGAGTTTCAAAACTTTCACTGGCAGACAAAATGCCGGATGTCGGGGATTCGATTCAGCTGCTCAAGGAAAAGTTTCTGCAGAAAGGACTCACAGAGAAAGACTTTGTGCTTCTCACTGGTACTCTCTTTTTCTCTCTCTCATGCATATCTAGCATGGTATTAAGGTTGGTGAGAATTCCAAGTAACATGATGAGAATGAAGTGTTAAAATGACTACTAAAGGACATAGAAAAATCCCAGTTATTAATTATGCCTGATGATAAGGTACACCATCGCAAGTTTTTTGTATCATGTGCCAGCAATTAACCAAGCTTTACTGATGGAAATGGCAGCTGCACATACAATTGGGACCACAGCGTGCTTTTTCATGACAGACCGGCTATACAACTTTTCCCCAGGAGGGGGATCAGATCCAGCTATAAACCCTTCTTTCCTATCGGAGCTAAAACAGACATGCCCTAACAATGGGGACGTCAATGTACGACTGCCCATTGATCGTGGGAGTGGGCAGACGTTTGATAAGCAGATTTTGAAGAACATTAGGAATGGGTTTGCAGTGCTAGAATCTGATGCTAAGCTTAACGACGATGAAGCAACTAGAAGGATAGTTGATTCCTATCTTGATTCCTTTACTCCTGTATCTGGACCTAGTTTTGAGGCAGATTTTGTTGAATCTATGGTGAATATGGGGCAGATTGGTGTCAAAACGCGCCTGATCTCCCCGTCCATACCCGTTTTGACACCAATCTGCCCAATATTCACCATAGATTCAACAAAATCTGGACCTAGTTTTGAGGCAGATTTTGTTGAATCTATGGTGAATATGGGGCAGATTGGTGTCAAAACGGGTATGGACGGGGAGATCAGGCGCGTTTGTGCAGCTTTCAATTGATCTATATGGTGAATTATAAACTAAATCTTTCTACCTAATCACCATTCAATGTTTAGGGATGATGTATCTGCTAAACTTGCAATCACATCACAACAATTTGACCAGAGATAAAAACTCTTAGAATCAGCAAAGAATCGCATTAAAATAATGATTTTTCAACCCCCAAATAAAATACGCTAGATCAAAGATGTAAAGCAGAAATGACATATTTACCAACTACATCAAGACGAGCTATGTACTGATAATCGCGTAAATAACTCATAGCGAACATCAGTGTTGCTCATTTTACAACATGCAGATACAACCAAGGAATTCCATATGGAAAGGTCAGGTAGCATACCTTGGCTAACCATCTCTTCCAACCACATAACAGCTTCATATTGCCTACCCATCGAGCAAAGACCCGATATAAGGATACTATATGTCTTTGCACAAGGCCAATATGATTTAATCAGCATTTCCTCCAAGACTCGACTGGCTTCAAGAAATTTACCATCTCGACACAAACCATCCACTAGAATGCCATAAGTTTCTTTGTTGGCAACACAACCAACCTGCTTGGCCATCTTCTTCAGATATCCAACTGCCAAGACTGAACTCCCTGCATCACAAAGACCTTTTAAGACAGTATTATACAACCTAATGGTTGGAACACAGTTTCCTTCCTTCATGTCCTCTTCAATTACCTTCACTGCTTCACTGACTCTGCCTTCCCTAGACAATGCTGCCACCTTTGCCTCATATATTGACAAAGACGGCCAAAAGCCTTTATGTCTCATGTTATCAAGCACTTTCTCAGCCTCATCAATTCTGCCTTCATCATAAAGATCAACAGCCATGGCACTATAGCTAGCCATACTAGGAATTCCACCTCTTATCAAAGCTTCATTAATCAAACGTTTAGTGGCTTCTATATCTTCACCATTGCTGCACTGAGAAAGATCAAGTTGGTGGCAGCATCGCTTTGGAGCCTTCAGCCCCTTCCTCAAAATCTTACCAAGAATTTCTACAGCCTCTTCAACCTTCCCATTATCACACAGAGCATATAATAGGGTTCTGTAAATCACAATGTCACCACCACTACCCTTGTGAGAAATCCTCCAAAACATTGAGTACAATAAATGAATGGCTTCATTTAATCTCCCATCTTGACACAACCCCTTCATCAGAATCCGATAGCTATCCCTATTAGGATAGCAACCTTGAAAATCCATCTCTTGAAAGATATTTAATGCAAGATCAGACTGCTTACACTGACAAAGCGCATCCATCAGCAAATTCAAAGACTGAACCCGAGATTTCACACCCCACCCACAAGAATGCTTCACAAAGAGACGATGAGCAGACTCAAGATTAGAGTCCTTAACCATTATCTCCAAAAGGGTATTGAAAGATTCAGTCCAGTGGACACAGTTGAACTTCGGAATGCTCTTAAACATCTTCACAGCGTCATTCACCATCCCCGCACTAGCAAAGGTCTTGATAACTCTCACAAACACAGAATCCTTGCATTCACAAGAATCCTCTCTCATCTGATCAATTACATCTTTCATCTCGGACATTCTACCTGAATTCCCCAGAATGTCAATCATGGTGGCATAAACAGGACCATTGTGACGATAACTGGGGTATTTCTCTTTGGCTTCATTGAAGATTCGGAGAGCTGTTAGCGGGTTTTTTTGACTCCTTATAATCTGTGAGAGGTGGGTGGGAGTTAAAACCCTTGGCCACCTTATGCTCATCGAGTTCAGCCTTCCCTGCTCAAAACTCGAAACTTGAACTCTAAATTGGATAACAAGTTACTTGCAACCCGGTGAGGAATTTGATCGAACAGCTGGTGCCCAATTTGAAAACATTCATTACCTTACAATTGACGGATAGAAAACCATGTTGATGTTACAACACGATCCTGCTAAGAGGCTTATAGGAAAAATTTTCCAGTAAAAATATTTCCCCAAACAGAGGGAATGAGGAAACATTGGGTACGAAGGTGGGTTTCAGCCAGTCGTCACCAGTTTCAGAGCTCTTCCATCGCACAAAGAAGACCACTTCGTTTCATTCAGACGGAACGGCGACGGACTGTTTATCGTTTGATGACTTGGCCTTTCCTTGCATAGCGTTGTTTTTTTTTTTTTTTTTGAGAAAGTTGCATAGCGTTGTTTTGGGACTATTTAATTTATTTTATGAAATTTTCTAACCTCAACCTCTCATCACATGTTCAGTTTTATTAAATATAGTATTTTTAATTAATTTTATATAAATTTTTATATTAAAATTAATTAAAATAAAATATATTATTTGTACTTAAAAATCTATAAAAAAAATATAAATTTAATATAAAAATTTATTTAAAATTAATTATAAATTCTAAAATTAATAAAATTTAACTATAATACGTGTTAGAGAAATCTTTTTTTTTATTTACTTATTTAGGCATGAATAATACCGATTTGGTCTTCAACTTATGAGACCAGTACCAAATTGGGCCTTTGACTTTAATTTGTACTGAATTGATCCCTTTACTCTATTGCCATTGTGAATTTGTGATGCCATTTTAAAGCAAACTCAATCCATTAATAGCTTAAAAACCCACCCCAACTGGGCGTCTCAAATTAAATATATCAAATTCAAATTGTAAAATAAGTGAAGAAAAAGTAAGAAGAGGTAAAAACTATCTCTATAATATAATTCATTATCTAATATACCAAAAAAAATAAAAACCTTAAAAATAGTATAATTTCCTCTTGGATGCAAGGCAGATTCATAAGAAAATCAACAAGGGCAAGTGAAAATAAAAATAAAAATAAAAAGAAGAGAATATTTTTAGAAGAAACCCTTTGTTTTTTTTTCTTGGTTATAAAGTTTCTGTAAGATACAGTGCCCCACCTTGGATCCGTTCTGGCCACTAAAGTGCAAGAGATGGAAGTCACTGTTTATTATAACAGGTAATTTTTACAATCTGGTGCAGATCAAAACATCATCTCATGATATAAAAGCATAGTTTTAACTTTTAGCAATTCCCAGCACAAAGCACTACCGAACATCACATATGAGCAATAGGTCATTCCTACTGGGTCTGCAAAAAAACCTCAGGCAAAGTATAATTAGCTAATAAGATCTAATTTGAGATGATTAACAATTTATCCTACCAAATTGCTATAATCATGAGACAAGGACCGCTATGTATTTCTCCAAGCAGTAAATGATGCTTAAATAACTCAAAGCTTTTTTCAGACCACCTAAATAGCTCAAAGCTGCCAGCCAAAAGAGTTAGTTGGATCTTGATCTTGATCTGCAAATTGAGTTGGCAAAACATTCAATGAGAAATGTGCATGCAAAAAGGTGTAAACTAGAGGGGTTTTGGATTTTGATGTATTTACATGGATAATTTTGCAGGAGGTGGTGACCTTGATTTTGAGAGAGACCTGATTAATAAAGCAAGCAAACCATGAGAATTTCTAGCATTAGGTGGGAGTGGGAGTGAGTTTGTGTGCGTGAGTGCCTTAAGAGATAATAGATAGACTGAAGAAAATAACAGAGGAAAAAAGGAATGGAGCAATATCATCATGCTTTACCTGTGATTGCTTCTTGGACTTCTACTAGGACTTCTACTTTGATTCTGAGACCCAGCTCCATGTGGACTGGCATAATAGCTCTCCACCTGAAATGTCAATGATCCAAAAAATTATTATCAAACCCAATTTCTAATAGATTATTTTTCTTTGGAGGCTTTCTAGATAGATAACAAGAACTAGAAGGTTATAAGAAAACCACATTAATTTCTAACAAAAGAAAAATAGAGGTTACCCTAATATAGGCCTTTGAAAACGAATTCTGAAATTCAGAATCATCAAGCTTCCTAATCTGTGCAAGATTGTCAAGGGACAAGTAAGGAAATAATAAAGAAACAACTCAAAAACAAATCAAAATAGTAACATAATTAGAATTAACTTATAGCATATTTCATGTCCTCATAATTTGTGAAGTCAACAATGCCCGCCACACCTAAGTGGAAGAAAATCTATATTTTATTAAAAATAGAAAATGTGAAAAGCATATCAGGAAAATGTGAGACTAGTAACTTTTAAAGCATAAAAGTCCAATTTGATAAGTCACTGCCATTTACAAGAACTGAATCATTTTTTCAAGCTCAAAAATCATCAACACAACACATGATGCAATCATCCAAACTTCTACCAATCACATATTCTATATCGGGAGCTCATACCATCTCCATCACGGTAAACTTCAGCAAAACATACATCTCCAGCATTCTGCATATGATCCTGCAACATATTCACTTATTATAGCCTTTTTCATCAGAAAATTAGTTAATTTAATTTAGAGGAAGTTGGTGGTGCACTCACTTTTAGGTCTTGCCATGAAGCAAAAGAGGGCAGTCCACAGACAACAACTAAATGGTAGGGAAGAAAATGAAAGAGTCAACATTGTAGGGAAACCTAAAAATGGACAAGACAGCATAAAAGATCAAAGATGAACTTCCAATGAGTTGTACCTCAAAACTCTGATCGATGTGAAACACCAAACCGTCCTCTACCACCACCACCACCATATCCATGGCGAGAAGATTGTCCGCAACCACCATGAGCAAGTTCAACCTACTTGAAGTCAAAGGTAAGAGAGAAAACCATCTAGGAAACAGTGGCTAAATATCAAGAGCAGCAAGGTCAATTACTTGGATATGGCATCCATCAAAATTATAGCCATCTCACCCCCTAATTGCATCTTCAGCATCCAAAGGATCCTCAAACTAAAATTAACAATTACAGAAAATAAATTTATGGTCAAATAAGACAGTGACCAAATTGGTAGTTGATATGCATATACTATAACAAGCATATCTTGGTAGTTGGTACAAGATGCATACCTCCACAAAACAGTATCCCAGAGAATGTGGTGGAAGCTTCAATTCAATATCCAAAATCCCCCCATACTGTAACCAACAAAAGCAACCACATGTATATTGAATAAAAGTATCCATGCAGTGAGTTGCATTGCAAGAGAAAAATGTCTATTTATTGAATTCAAACTATCAAAATGCTGCATAATATCTACTACTTGAAAACAGTAATCACGATCAAGTGGCTCATAAAGTAAATGATCTTAAATAAGTGGCAAACCTGCCAGGTTGCCACGTTATCACTTCTTTACCTTTTACCATAAAAGTAAAAATAAAAAGAAGAAATGCCAATAAGCTACAGTTCAAACCTTGTAGAAAAGGTCCTCAATTTCCCATTCCTTGACATCTAATGGCAGGTTACCAACATAAATTGTGCATGCTGATCGACCAGCCATTTGCAATGCAACAGATACAATTAGGCAGGGACAATTTACTGCAAAGAAAAAAGTGAAAAGGAAGAATAATCATTTCAATGTCTTAGAACATTCAAAATGGTGAATTTTGCTAAATTATAAATTACAATTTATACTACTCAACATCAACATCATTAGTAAAATAAGACAGTTAAAGGAAAGCCAATACTGTAGAGCAAACCAAGAGCAACCCTTTGAAATGGAGCTCCACAAGCTCTATTGTTTATGTGCTCCAAGCGCACCACAGCTACTATTAAATTGATAACACAAATGAACTCATTCTCCCCTTGACTTTTGCAGAGGTATGAATGATCTTCTCAAAATGACCAAGAACCTCAAATCATTATAACGCCCATAAATTTAAATGATGCCTCCACTCCCATTTTTACATCCCTATGACCAAAGCTCCTATCTGTTGAAGCTCCCTTCATCTATCATACACAAAGTGATTAAGTTATGAAATACGATAGGATTGAAAATATATTTGGGCTTTTTCCAGGATTATTATGCTCGTATTTGACCAATTTTGGTTAGGGAGAGGAAAACAAAATGTGACACACAATGTCTTACTTTTATGTCCAACTAAAATTTAAATGGATTGATATGTCCAGCTCAAAAGAGAAGACTTACTTTGCACGTAAATTCCTATAAATAAGATCCAGCATTAAGCCTTTCACTTTTATGGGAAAAGTAGAAATAACTTAGAACACAGATACTCTCAAGGATTGAAATTAGATCTAGAAATGTATAAGTTTTTAGGGAACTTTAATCCAAAGTCCAGCTATAAAAGCAAGGTAATTAATCCTTTTCTATGAATACTGGAAAAGACCGTGCACTGAGTTAGCTTAAGCTCTTGTTAGTTGGGTATAATTAAATCCTAATAAGGGAAAGACATGGGATTCAATGCAGTAAGTAAGCATCACCCAAACCCATGAAATTGAAGCTCAGAACAACTGTCCTGGTGTTTCTGGCCATGTGCTGTTTAATGGGAGGTAATGCTTTATGCTTAACACAGAGACGAACCAAAATACTGCTATAAAGAAGCGCACAGACACATAATAGACTCTACAAGCTACCCATGTTATTAAAAAAACAAAACACTATAATGCTAAGCAATCACAGCTTGACATAAAAACAAACCCACAAAGAAACATGAACTAGTATGACAAAATAACAAGAAAAAGGAGTAAAGTATCAAGTGAAGGTTGAACCTGTAAGGACAGGTCCGAGGTGCCAAGCCTCGAACTGCTACAGTAATTCTTTTATGACCGAAGTGAAGGATAAATCCAAAGCTTCCCGCTCAAATAGCTGCATGACAGTAACAATGAGCATGCCCGCACTCGATTCCTTATGATGAGCTACACAGCGGTTATGACAGGTATCCTCCCATCGGAATATCTCTCAATTTCCCGGTCCCGAAATAACCGTTTGGAGATACACATCAGATCCCGAATATCTTGCTTGGCATGCCACGT